TAGTGGGTACCGTATGGAGGCGAATGTATCCTGGAGGAATGCAGAGGGCCCTCATCTCTGCTACAATCCCAACCTGTGCATTGGCAATCTTCATCAGTTGTGCACGGATCTCCTATTCCATAAGCCATGTGGTTTTGCCAGTTTCCCAGTTTAATTATTTTGGAATTGCAGAACGAGGGCATATTGCTACTGCTATTCGATACACTTACCCAGGGTTGTATTCGCATCCCACCATTGTCATGCCTGTGCACCACACAACTGCGCAACCAATTTTGTCACTCGTTTGCAAATCGCCTGCAATGAACAAACTTCAAAGGTAAATTAGGTCACTGTGCAGCTAACGATTCCATTACCACCTCAGAGTAGTGCCCGCCATTCTCCATGCCTCTTCGGTGAAATTTTTGTTCGCTGTGTACCTATATTTCCATATTTCCTAAAGCAACCAGCGACGGCCTCAAATTTTATGTCATTTCTCTCTATTAAAAATCTAACCGATTGTGCAGCATAGGTCTTGCTCATATTACGTGCGCCGGTCGCCTAAAGGTTCTGATCCCAATAGTTCCTGTCTGTTTTCGGGTTATGTTTAATTATGCACTTCTTTGCATACTCCATCATATTCTTCTCAACTTCGCAATCGTAGGCCTATAACGACACAGTTACTCTATCTTATTTCAATGCCTCATTTCGATGGGCATGAAGCAGCTTTCCTTCAATGGAACAGGGCTACAGTCTTTACCACTTTCAGCAGTCGAACTGCTTTCGGAGCGTACTCTCCGAGTTTATTATTGAGATTCCTTTAGCAGCGAGCGATCTGAAAAAATTCTTTCATCGGCCCGGTAACACGATATTATAGATGCTTTGCATTAGCAATACCAACCGATTATGATTGTGTTCATAGATGAAAACGGCCCTAATTTCGTCTGTCATGCCATTACCAGATGGACAGTATGTAGCTAAATGCATGTTTTGGTAAGCCCTAGCTAATAACCATAGGATCGTAAAAATTTGGGAAGAACGCACCAGGCACCCATAATGGCGTCAGAAGCGCCTAAATGCGTTCACTTAAAAAGTCTTGTTATCATCAGAAGCAATCAGCTGGAAACTTTGACTTACCAAACCGGCAATCGCGAGAAGTACTAGCATACCCCACGATGGATGTGAATATCTGTAGGACACTAGTAAGGGTTTACGTAGTTGTTTCGATACCCTTTTTTCACAAATACCATGGGGGCTCGCAGCTGATATACCTCTTACTTGAGAGCTATTCCAATTTTATTTCCATTGTTCTTGTGACACAGATTTATTTATTTTGTGACACCGTCCCTTATGGATTTCTTACAATTTTCAAAAGTATTTTGGAGTGATCGAATAATTGTAAACCATTTTAATCAAAGCCTAAAACCTTTTTGACGTGTCTAAGGTGAACATTCTGCCATCGCTTAAGGTACTGTCCTTTCGTTTCAAGGCAACTGGCGGTTCTATATCTCACCAAAGTAATCATGGAGATTAACGTTTTTTTCGCGTTGACGTTCGAAAACAGGAAGTGCGATCGAAATCCATCCGGAAACTCCAGTACAAATTCGGGCAGCCTCGAGACACATTGGTTCGTCCTTTCGTTATTCCATCAGTTGAAGAGGAGTTAAAGTAAACAGATGTGAGCGCTTCACAAGAAGAATGGAAATGAAATTGGAATAGCTCGAAAGTAAGAGGTATATCAGCTGCGAACCCCTAGTATTGGTGAAAAAGGGCATCGAAATAATTATATAAACCCTTACTAGTGTCCTACAGATATTCACATTCATTGTGAAGTATGCTAGTAATTCTCGCGTAATTGTCGGCTTGGTAAGTCAAAGTTTTCAGCCGATTGCTTTCGATTAACCGTCTTCAGAGTGATGGGAGGTCTAGTGAGTCCGTTCAATAATCGTTCCAAACTTCGAACCTGAAGCATGCATGAGATAGTGCTGCACTCTAAATTATTGGATGATAGTCTCTCAACTATCTTATTGTTAGCCCACAGACTACACAAGACTCCGCTTACCGGTGTTTAGGCGGAAGGGTATCACTACACTGTCCTCTTGAGAGCGTCTCCGCGTACTTGGATCCGATATTATTGAGTTTCGGAGAAAGTTAGCTTATTCCTCTCTCACGCATAAAGCAACTACCGTTGAAATGACTTTGGAGCTGTCCGATCTGTTCCAGATGCCCCAATTATGGTGTACAAGAGGCCATGGGTATCAAATACGACCTGACAAACAAACACTAGGGCTTACGCTTTATCACTCTATGTCAGAGTGGTTTTCTGTGAAACGGCAAAAAACCTAATTTTTTTAGGGTACAGCTGATCTTGTTTTTTTCAGAGCCACGTAGTTTGTTCAAGCGCGTGAGCTGAGTTTGTTCAGGCAGAGAGCGGTAGCCTAGTTGTCAAATGTAAATGAGCTGCTGGAATGAGTTCGCGTGATAGAAACTGCACCACTGCACTATTGCAATGGTCATCCGGCGCGATTGGGTTGGATTTGTAGTGCATACCGTCAATAGTCCCCCTCTGGCACTGTCTGAATCTCTACGTTTCTAATCTTTCGTTCCCTTTGTTTTTTTTTGCTTCCAGATTTAATTTCATTTCATTGTTTAGTTCCCNTTTCTCTCTATTAAAAGTCTAACCGATTGTGCAGCATAGGTCTTGCTCATGTTACGTGCGCCGGTCGCCTAAAGGTTCTGATCCCAATANNCCCCCCCCCTGTGCGTGTGTATCTGTATTCATTTATAATATTTATTATACGTTTTTCCTCACCTACTATTGCCAATTCGAATTAGATCGGCTACAAGGTCCCTGTACCATAAATGTTGTAATAGATAAAAAAATAAATGATGCGAAATCATTGACAGCTCTAAGAACTTTTCGTCACGGCGAAGCGAATGCGTCATCCAGTCCAATCTTATCCTCATTTCTGAGACTTGCAATGCTCTGAAAGGTGCTTTTATAAAAATTGTGTTGGAGCAAAAAGAAAGCAATTCCATAGCATGCGGTGTCCAGTAATTGTCGAGGGTCCCATTCACTGCGCTAAACATGGTGATGCGGTAGGACTCGACTTGGAGCCCTGAAGAACCTGTGATGGCTTGCTTCGAGATCGTTATAAATGGGCTTCAGCACCAGCCGATGGACATCGCTGTCGTGCCCCGTGTCCCGTGCTTCATGTGCTCATTTTTGCGGTAATTTCTTCCAAGTGCTCCACTTATCTCCAGAGCCCTCCTCAGAAAAAAAGAATCATTCTCCTCAACTTCCACAGTCAATATTCAATCGTGATGAAATGTAAGCATCAGAGGGTGGGTCGTCGTCGCTAACATCAGGTGATCAGGGGATCACTGTGATTGTTATCCAGGTTCTTTCCTTCGACAGTCGTTAACAATTTTTTCAATTATAGCAGCAATGTTATAGTCGAAAAGCGCACTGTCGCATTCCCCTGTTTCGTAGATGGCGTGCGCTTCATGTCAAAGGAGCCAAAGATTTCTAACAAATACGCTAACCAGTACTAACACCACTGCTGGTAATATGTTGAAGAGCGCTGTGACCCAATTAATGATATGACCTTTCCCCCGGAGCTTCAGAGAGCCCATAGGGTTTTGGCCATTTTGAGCATAGTTTTCATGGCTCTTTCTAGTGTTCTTGTGTTCTACTTTTGTTTCATAAAAAGAAGAAGGCAAAGAATTTTTTCCATGGATTGCATTTCAATTAGCGGCGGTACTGTATGGCTTGATTTGACTTCGACACCTTATCAGGCTAGCTACTCCCACTATCCTCTTGAGACTTCGATGAATCTTTTATGGGTTTTCTGCTATCGTCTTTTGCCTCAATTTTTTCGGCGAAAAAGTAATATATAATAGAATCCACAGGCCACGAACTCCATATGGTGGAGTGCTCTTCTGGGGACCAATTCTCAAAAAGAACACCCTGTTTGCAGAAGCTGAACTTGTTGGTGATTTGAGTTTCAAGAGTTGTTATGAATTTTCTCTTTTTCAATCGACGGAAATTGTTGGCTTTTCCAAATGATGCTTGTTTCCTCTTCCGTTAAAACTTCGCTATTACAGTGAATTATTATTACATTTCATCCGGAAGATGACAGGAGATCAAATGCTCATCAGCATGCCGAATTAAATATGAGCGCGATGAGGAACTCAAAATCAACATATGTAGCCCAAGATATAAAAAATGAATAAAAAGGCGATATACACCACTTCTCCGACGTAGGCTACGTGCGTCTTAATTATGGTTGTTACAATTCCAAGGGAGGAAACAAATCAGATCCATAAAGAGATAATAACCACCGAGAAAGCAACCGCATTGAAAAAAGAAGAGATTTTAAAGAGAAAAAGTCACAAACGCCTATCTATCTACGTAGCAAAAAGGAGCGTCCACAATTGTATCAAGGACAGCCTTGAGACCAAGGTGAGGGAATGGAGTAGATCGTTAAACCAGTACAACGTATACAATTCAAGACGTTCTCACTGCACGCAGTGTACGAATTGATTTCGTCTCTTCTTCTTCCTCTTCTTCTTGCCGCATCCGCTCGATGTACTCATCCAGTGGAGCAATATTCGTTTTGGGAAAAGTTTTGTCTGTCTGTGAAGCTTTTGTTTGACACTCTTGTTGTCGAATTGAAGCTTTCTGAAAAGGCATTAGTTAAAAATATCCTGTTACCTCTGATTCTAATTAATTTATTATAATTTCGAATTAATTGTGATTGTGATGTGATTTTAACTCAATTGGCTAATGACACACTATATAGAACGTAACAACCAGACAAATTATTTTTGACAGTAATACGGAATACTGTGGAACATCTCCCTTATGAGAAAAAGCATTGAAGTACGTATATGAGTGATAAATCACTTATATATGTATTTTTAGTTCGGGAGCAGGCAAAAAATGTTGGCACTTAGCAGTTCCGCGAATAGCTTATGAGATATCCCCTGAGATAAAATCTGTGACCTCCTCACACACCATGTGGTCCTAAAACGGCCTAGATAGGGCGGTTAGGCTCAAAGGCTCAACTGCGCGGATGAGTTTCAACGACACCTAAACTTGGGCATTTCGACTTGAAAAGGTTACCTCGAAAATATCGTGGGCTTTTCCTCGCGAACTACGCCATTTACGCAAGTTGACTTTGAGCCATCCGTTCTGGTCGCACGTCGTTACCATTGTTGGCCAAACATGTTCACCACAAGATGGGCATACACTAATTAAGGCCTTCCCAGCGCCCGCTTGCGATCCATTGGGAACCAATTCGTCAGACGGAAAGTCCATCGATTGTCCTTCGATCGTGCCACATGATGGGCCCATTTTCTTTTACTTTTATACATTTAATGGACAACATCAACAGGGCCACTTCGTATACGCAACTCTAGTGTTTGTGATATGTTCATGAAGCGACATTTTGCAAATACTGCGTTCCACTAAACTTTGCATCACAGCTATTTCTCTTCGTCTGCCTTCGTAGATGACTAGCATTCCGCGCCGTACAACAGAACACGTGAATACCCGTCGAGTGGAAGAAGGACGCTTTCACTTTCATCGGAAGGTCCCCGTATAGTGATTCGTTAAGATTTTGTTGAAGCTAGACCAAGTTGCTTTCCTGCACTTGCTTACTCTGCGGTGCTGCCTTCTGGGAAGCTGAGCTGGTGTCCGAGGTCCTTAAAGTTTCACTTCCTCGGTGGTTTTGCCATTAATTTATACAGTCGCTGTAGGGCTGAACTGTTTGTGCATCCAATTCGTTTTTGACAAATTCATTTCAAGTCCAATTTCGCACGATTTCATCTGTAGTTGCGCATGTTGCACGATTGATCCAGGGGATCTAATTCCGGCTCACTTCTGGCGCGAGCGCTTAACCCTTTCGAGGTCCAGACCTGTCTGGAACGAACGGGAAACATTCTGAAGCATCTATATATCATCATGCTTCCTAGGCCACCGTATGGGAAGATTATCCATGTTTGAAAGACGTCAACTTTAATTCAGAATGTGTTACGATATCTTCTATTTCATTTCACAATTGCGTCATGGGCAAAGTTCTGAAAATGTAGATGGAATTCTAACCTGAACATAACGGTGAATCTCTTGAATATCTTTCAAGTAATCCAATGCACATTCATACATGCCTCGTTTGAAGTACTCCTGAAAAATCGGTATTGTGTAAATTATACAAGACCTAATTCTTGATAAAAGTACTTAGATCACGTGATTTGGGCGTTAATGTCCTTGAATGGTTCAGGACGGTTCAGGACGAATCGAGGAAGGAACCTGGGTGCGAATTCCCACGGTCGCACGCGCGCATGTGGCAAGTTTTTGTGGGTGGTTTGGCGGCAAGCTGCAGACAAACCGTACTCAGAAATTGTGAACGCGATCATTCAAATCTGACCCATACATTCTCTTCTCTAAACACCCCATCGATTTCAACATCACTAGTAGTTACTAAAGAGGAGCATAATGGCTCGTTCAAAAATAATCTGGATTAAGCGAGTATTTTTTAGATCTCAAATATGGGCTAAACTTTGAGCTTAAGTCAGCTTATGACGTGATAATCAGAAAAATGGCTGATAATCCAAAACTAATGAGGGACGCTTATCACGTCATCGCCTACGGGACCACGCTTTTCTTATTTACGAGATCGAAACATCTAACAGTTGCTTTTAATTGTTAGTCGGATGTGCCACCATCTGTTTGGGACCGCTGCAGGTTTTATTCGGGACTAACGACTTACTGACCATTAAACGAGAAAGGTCCGCTCGGATAACGAAGCAAAGGATAAGTGAATATCAAAAAAGACTATAAAGCATCTGCCAAGTGCATTCGTCAAGGAAACGTCAAAGTCAGAGAGATGGCTCTCTTGGATGCAACGGAATCGGATTTTCAGTAGACATCTTTAAGATCCCTTCAGAACTCCAGTAAATCTGATAATAATGGCTAAATCCTCCCTGTATGGATGTAGTACCTACAGGGTAATCTTTCAACGTTCCGTGGTGATGAAGTGCGGTCAGACAAGTCACTCGGCTCTTCACACTGATGGGCAATCTTAAAAGAAAACCGGAGAGCATTATCTTGGGTTGAGATAATTGTCATTCATCACTCTGGACCACTTCACCATACGCTCACCGCTAAGTGATCATTAGCGTACTGTCCCAAAAAGTGGCTGTGGTGACATTTTCTATTATGGAATTATTGGTAAATGGTATTATTGGTATATTGGTCTTATTGTGGTAAATGTCAACCAAGTTCAAAGGCCGGCGGCAGGTGTGTTCCAGATAATCCTCTAGCATATGATAATTTACAAAAATCAAATCACTGCTCTGAAAAGCAGTTCGACTCACGTTGAACATATTGCTGGTTTTGGCGTGCTTCAAAAACAAGAGAACTACGATGGCGATCAACAACGATCTCATCCTTTCCTGAAAGTGACATGTTGTCTTGTTTTGTAAATAGGTTTTCGGTAAAGTAGCGGAGCATAANTAAGCAGAGACCAAATACTTTGTAGCCATAGAAAGGAAAAGGAGAATTGTTCCCATTTGGATAGATGGGCTTTTTCGAGAATGAAGACAAGTGTAGGACGACGAATTTGAAATTTAAACGTCTTATACTGCGTTCCTCCCCGAATAAATAGCTCAGAATTTTTATCGAGTTTGGTTCAGGTTGGGCGTGGCATGAAACTTCTAGACTGGGCGGAGAACTCAAGAGAGTTCGATGGTAAATGAATTAGTCAGTTATGATTGTCACAATCAAGTACCTATTAGTGAGACAAAGAAAGTGATGATCCCTTATGTTATTAATGGCTAAGGATTTCAGTACACGGAAAGCACAATTTCACGTCATTCAACTACCTCGGATCGCGAATGCCTAATAAATGATTTCTATATGCCAGGAATTTGTTATTCATGAACATTGAAACGTCATTTATCAAAATCTGGCTCAGAATACGATTAAAATGTCTTAGCAAATACAACAGACTAGGCGCTTACAATTGGCCTCATTCATATTGGCTATGATGCGAGTTCGATGCTGTTCGGATTTTATGCAAAAATCCGCGGAGGATTCTCGTTACTTCTGGGGAATCTGCTTGAGAGCCTTAGGAATAAGATTCGGCCAGTCTTGGTCTTCCTATCCGCTTCGTGAAGATTAGTTTCAGAAGTAGCTGATTAACCTATCAATCCTGGTTTGTCTAACCACTCAAAGAAGGAGTTGAAATGCGGAAGTGACGCAATTCTGACTCTGGTCAAAGTAATCCTTCTCCAGCGAACCCACAATAAACCGCAGGAGGTCACCAAGGTACTATCTTTGATTTCTAGCTTGTTGTTATCTTCCCCGTGCTTCGACAACCTTTCTCTTTACAAGCCATAGGCTAGTAGCGGGCGATATATTAGGTGTGTGCATTGATTCCCGCCGTTTTTTGCGTGCAAAACCATATTAATTACAAAATTGAAACCAAATGTACATTAATCAATGTATTGTCCATCGTTAGCTACAACTTCTTGCCAACTATCTGGTATCTTGTTGACTCCGGGTCTAAAAAAGTCTTCATCTTTTGAGGCAATCCTATTATACACCCATTTTCGCACTTCTTCG